CTTCTAATTGGCCCCAGAGGCAAGTCCGGCGCCCGGCCCCGGCGCTATATATGCCCGTTCGCCCGGCTATGGGACCCGGGCAGAGGGAGCGCAGCATCCTCATCCCGCGGCACTCCGGACATTCCCCGCCGCGGTGCGAGGGAAGAGGGATCCCGTCCGACGCCGCCCGACTCGAGAACAGTTTCGTTCGGTCGCCCAGACCTTCCCGGGGCTAGATCGCGGCCGCCCTTCGTAGCTCCTGGCCACTTTGCTCCCTCCCTCCCGCGTCTGGCTTTCGAGGGCACAGCCCTCCCGCAGCTGGAGGTTCGCCGGCGATCGAGCCATTCATCCATCCGTCCACCCATCCATCCACCCACCCCTCTATCCATACCCCGCATCATGAGTTCCCCGCTAAAGCGAGCCCCCCTGCTCAGCTCTCTGCTAAAGCGGCGAGGTCCTGGGAGCGCGCCGGCTTTCCCGCAGCAGCAACAGCTGCTGCCCACTTCGTCCGTGTGCGCCTTGGAGCCCAAGGCTCAGGTGCCCTCTTGCCCCAGGCACGCTCCCCACTCGCTTTCTGCCCTGCCCGGTCCCACCAAGTGGCCTCTGATGGGCAGCTTCTTAGACATCCTCTGGAAAGGGGGCCTCAAGAAACAGCACCAGACGCTGGTGAGTAATCTGTATTTCCCCCCTTCCCAGTATGATCCTTCATCCAGAGCAAACGCTGGCTGGCTGTTGGGGTTAAACAGGATCCCCAGTGCAGCAGCAGCTTGGCAGAACGGCTGCTGCTTTGCATGGCAAAGCAGTTGCTGACCTTCTCTGACCTAGAGGGTCTTGAATGGCAGGACCGGGAAATATCTCTAGAATGTCCCATGGTAGTTTGGAAGGTCCCTCAAAGATCATCTAGCCCAGCATCTCCTACCCAGTGATGGACTGTGCAGACGGCAGAATTCCCAGACAGCACAGTTTCCACAGACTGGGTCAGGTTAACCCCGTCAAGCTTCAGCCAATTCAGGGAAGCAGTCATAGGAGCATCCTTAAATAGGTGACCGTTCCTGCATCTTGTTTAAAAACTCCATAAGGAAGAAGAAAGAGCCACTTTTTGAGACAACATGTTTTTAGATCATGACACCAGGAAGTTCTTAATCAAATGCTTAATCGAAGCTCCTCACCCCCCGCCACCCCCGCCACCAATTTGAACAGATTTGTTCATCTGTGTGCAAGAGACATGTCTTACAGAATCCTAGATGGCCAGTGTGTGAACTGAAAGTTGCACGTGCTGGGTATGCACTCACCTCCTCTTGCAAAGGATTCTGTGGGATGGCTGAGTCTCTGTGATCAAGTGTTTGGCTGCATTCAGTCATATCTGCCCCATTGAACCTCCCCTCCCCATTCTTTCTCCTTCCCTTGAAGGCTGAGTACCACCAGAAGTTTGGCAAGATCTTCCGCATGAAACTTGGGAGTTTTGACTCAGTTCATATAGGCGCACCCTGTCTGCTAGAGTCTCTCTACCGGAAAGAGAGCACCTACCCACAGCGCCTGGAGATTAAGCCCTGGAAAGCCTATCGGGATTACCGTAAAGAGGGCTATGGGCTACTTATCCTGTGAGTAAAGATGAGATGAGATGTGATTCACGGGCATTGTGGAAGGACACGTGCCACTTTGTGCTGAAAACTCCCTGCGCTTATATTGGCTTGCGGTTTTAGTGCAAGGGATGCTAAGAACAAGTAGTTTAGATTGTTTTTCAAACATACACCCTCTGTTTCATACATACCTTTAAGTCTCTCGTGGTAGTTTCATGACAGTATTTATAAATATTACATGATCATGGAAGAAAAGTCAAATGCCATTTCTTTGGGGTGGACCTTTTATATTCACATTAAACCTATTTTTGCACTAATTTCTTTAGGGTTCTTTGTCTTTTGACACCACATTCTGCTGTTTTATCCTGAAAACAGCAAAAGATATGCAGGCAAGGTTATCACAATGGCAGTGTAAACAAGCCATTTGCAGCATTGTCCTGGGTTAACGTGGTCCCAAACCTCCCGTTAACATTAGAATGGAAAAATTGCAGCAGGAGAAAGGCAATTTTAATCATATGCCCCTAAGATACCATTCAAGCTGGAAGAGAAATGCAGAATGTGAAGAAGGCTGTGTCATGATAATTTAATATCTCTTCCAAAGTAAGAGTTCAGCAATCACTTTCAGTGGTCTCCTCCAAAGATAATTGAAAATGGCAGCATCTAGTAGATCTTCCCAAAAGCTGAACAGGACTATCAAAGCTTGAGGTGAAATGAAGTCAACAGAATTCCAGAAAAAAAGCAGCAGCAAACCACAGTCATACAGTACATTTCCATGGGGTCCCCAGGGCTCAAGCTTGACTAAGGGGAATTTTGTCTTTATTTTATTTGAAGTAAATAATATATTGGAATGGAAAGCCATTTTTCCCATATTATCAAACTTGATCATCTGCTTGCTTATCTTCCTTGAAATATATTACCATTCACTTGTAAAACTACCCAGACTTAATATTTGGCTATTTAATTATTGCAGACTCAGTTATTTTAACTTTTCTCTCATATACTCACCTTTTATTTTAACCAGGAAATGTCAAAGGATTTGCAAAGTCTTCACAATTAATATAGTGGAACATATATCTTTTAATCACTTGAATATTTGTTTTTCATAGGGAAGGGAAGGACTGGCAGAGAGTAAGAAGTGCATTTCAGAAGAAACTAATGAAGCCCACGGAAATTTTGAAGTTGGACACTAAAATCAATGAGGTACTGCATAAGAATATGTGCTTAAAATTACCTCTAAAATGTTAAAGAATCCTAAAAATTGCTATTCATCTGATCCAGAGACAGATGTAATTTGAGATTTTGAACACTCTGGTTATTATATGGATTGCTTTAAAGGAGGAAGGGAAGAAATCAGAATGTTATCTCTACAGAAATCTTTCCTGACTTGTACCAGTTCAAAATATAGTTGAAACAATAAGTTTGAATGCATCCCACAGATTTCTAAGGCATGTAGAAATATAGCATATCTGGGGAAAGTGAAGGCTACAACTTTCTTCGTGACATGCCAACTTTCTATAT